ATGGAGCCAGAATGACGCTTCATCTGCAAATCTGATTCATTCAAAGTGTTAATTATGCCTGGGTCTGGACATCAGCATAGTTAGTTAGGAAAGAGAACTTTTATTTGTCCTGCAATGGGGAAATTCCAGTTATTTAGTTAATTAAACCTCTTGACTGAGATCTGAAAGGCAAACTGTTTCTATGTAATTTTAAAATAATATCCACTTTAAAAACTTTAAGGAGCTATGTGTAATAACTTTATAGACCCTTTGAGTTTAAGGTGGCTTTGGGTAGTGTAATCACCTTTTACTACCACAGAGGAAGCTTGCAAGTCTAGTCTTGACAACCCAAGCAATAGCCATAAGAACCTGTAGCTTCAAAGCCTAGGGCATTAAGGTTTGTGTAGCGCTTAGGCCCAAACCAGAAAGAAAGACTTAATACTTAATGCAGTTGTATCTTACTTTGTGGAAATGGGTCATGTTATACCATACATTTTCTCAGAGGGTGTGGGTGCTTCAAGGCTGATTTCTCCAGCAGTGGCCTGAGCTCAGATGCCCCCTTTGTGCTCTGGTTTACTCTTTCAATAGGTCTATTTATATGCTTTTACATTTTGGGCAAATTAAAGACAAAGGGCACCACACTCTGCCCAGGAACATACAAAATTTCAAGTGCTCCTGACATGCAAGGCCCATTCACAAGTGTCTGTCAAGTGAGAGGTATTTCCTTGCTTTTATCGAGAGTGGAAAGGCAAATATGGACTGGAGTTTAACCTCTGCATGGGCTTGTTGACAAAGAAAGCAACTTCACGGTTCACAATAGAATACAGCAGTTACTCAAAAGTGATCAAAGGCAATCTGAAGCAAATTATAACTACAGTGGCTCCATGTAATGTGTCTTCATGAACCATTTTACGCACATTTTAAATTTTCCTTGTCATTAGGCTACAGTCTGTTGAATCCAGTGATTGCTTAACCTGAGACAGTTCATGCTCAACTTATTGCTGAATTTACCAGCTGTGTTGCCCTAAAACTTTGCCCATTAACCTCTACGGCCAACAGCTGAACTCACTGGCAGGTGTCTCTCCACTTAGAACCAGTTTACTTCCTGGACCGTTGTAGTAACTCATACACGAACTATTTACTGCCATTGCCTTGACCTCACCTATGGACTGTGCAGAATCAGAGTTCAACTACTCTGATTTAAAGTATTTGAATGGAAAAAAATATCTTGGCACGACTCCAGAAGACTAACAAATGGAGCTCCAAACTTTCAGCGCATTCCTTGGTCGAAGTTCCTGGAGAGAGTTAGTTCCCGTTAGATGTAAGCAGTGCAGTGGGCTACTTACAGAATGGTGGTCTGCGGAGACACGGCTGGCACGGTTTCCAGGTTCAAATGCATACATCTCACGGTTGTCCGAAAACACAAGCAGCGACTGGGGCACGATCGAGCCAACTGCGGTCCGCCTGCGAGCAACAGCACGGCCACCGCGAGCAGACACCGAGGGGCGAAGAAGAAGTGGCCAGCCCGCAGCGCCATTGCTAGCAGTGAGCTGGAGCCGAGCAACAGACCGCCAGCTGCCACACACACACACACACAGCGAGAGTGAGAGAGCGCAAACTCCGAGGAGAAGGAGAGACGCACACACCGCCACTGTGCGCGCGAGAGAGCGTGCACGAGAGAGAGACTGAGAGAAAGAAAAAAAGAGAGAGTGAGACACAGAGAGAGAGAGGAAAAGAGGCTAAAACTCCAACGTTCCTGCATGTATATTCATCCAGATGATGCGTAAACCTTTACGCGCAGCATCTTAACAAATATTCAGATGCAGTAATTTAGGGCGAGACTGCAGAATACACTTTAAGATGTAAAATATAGCCATTAATTAATATAGTCATGAATACCTCTGCTTGGCAGCCCTACCTTTTGACATGCAATAAATGCTTCTTGGCTTGAAAAGAATATAATTGAATGTAACTTTCTTGCAGCATTGGATTGAATCTGCTGACATCTGCTGGACAAAAGTGGAAACTGCACAAACGGTTCAAGTGACAGTAAGCTACTGTAGCCTATAACGATGCATTTTCCATGAAATAAAGTGTATCAAAAATAAAGCCCTTATTGTGTTTTTATTGTCCATGGAAGTAATGGAATCGTCCAATATGTCCACGGGTTCACCCGAAATATGATTTAAAAAAAAAAAAAAAAAAAAAAAAATATATATATATATATATATATATATATATATATATATATATATATATATATATATATATATATATATATATATATATATATAACAGAGCAAATACTGAACAACTAAAAAGATCAATGTTCATCAGAGTTTATTGCCTTCCTATAGTGTCTCACAGTAAGGCAGATCGTCTTGGCTGAGTCCTTTATTAAGTAGCCCATTAGATAAAGACATCTCAATATAGAGTGCATTAACTGTAGTCTACTTCTGTTGCTTATTTCTATAAACAGTAAATACACACTTGTAATGTACCCACTTGGCAAGAACTATACCTATGGATGAATTTGTAAACCCGTGGCTAATAATTAACAGTTGACTGCCCTCTAGTGGTGGTAAAATATTTGTAATAAAATTAGACAGTGAAGAACTATTGTACAGGTCTCTGGCAACACATTTTCCTTTATTTAGAGTAAGATGTGTCAACATCCAGCATGACAAAATTGTACAAAGTTCACAATTTATAAATGAAATATCACAGCAACTTGTGATCTCACACATTTATAGCAAAATTAAAATGTCAACAAATCCATGCTGTGTAGTACAAAAATAAATCAAACTTCAGTTCCACAGAGCACAATAGTTTATACAAAATCCTGTCCTTGTTATGGTCACTGAAATCAACCTCCAAATCAGTTGGCTCAAATAAAATATTAAACTCTGATGGATAAATTCACAATTATTTGAAAAGTCAGCATTCTAAATAAGTGACAACCTTTTGTATTCCCTATAGATAGTCACAGATAACTCTTTTAGGATTGTTATTTATGTACCAACATTAGATGAGCAGCCAGTTTGTGCTTTAAAATCCCTTTTCCATTTCACTGATAATGAGAATTAATTCAAAAACTGGTACTAGCTATTACTCTACTGAAGCATTACTATACTGGCAGAAGCTGCAGACACAATGCAGTGGAAAAGGCATATGCAGTCGATGAACAGTGGGTATTTGAGTCCTGAAAGAGGACCGTAAAGTACAATAGATGAGATTGAGTCAGGTGAAAGACAAGCACCTTTTGCTTTAGCTCTCAAAAAGGCAAATTTTGGAGATGACGTCTAACAACTACGACAGGATGGAGGGGTGCATACAGTCAGGCATACAGGCATGATGCTGGATTGTATAACCCCTATAAGGACTCACTTCTCCTGTATCAGGGAAGAGAACCCTAGTTAAATTCAGATTTTTAAAAAACCTTGAATTGATTGACTATTTAATCCTTTGTACAGTGATTAGATATAAAGTGCTGCTGGGGGATAACTTTATCTTCCTAAAACATAGCAAGAATGAATGTTTTTACACTCGATTATAGCCTACAGTATAGGTGCTATGGATATAAACATCCTCCTCTCTGATTCAAAGTCCCTGTTTCTCTCAGTGGTACTAATTCCACACCTAAAGTGGCTCCAAGCAGTGGGTTGCTCCAATCGTGTGCCAAAGAGGTCACATGGAAAATTGCACACCGCCGTACATAAGGATAATATCTTCAAGGACAAGTGCAAATAGTCTACTGGCACATAAGTGGGGACAGTGACCCTGTAAGTCCCGCTGTCATACTTTATAAATACTCTTTACAAAACCCTCGGGTACTGCGGCAAGTTTCTGTAACAACATCAAAACATGGAAACGAAGGTGTCCCTGTGCAAAATCGTACAGAAAAAAGGGGAACTCATAGATTTTTGCTTTTAAACTCAGTGTCCAGGTTTGCTCCTCTCTTTTTTTTAAAAAGACTTTTGTATTAAAAGATTTGTATAAAAATCAATAATTTACATAGGTTATATTAAAAAGATTCACATAACCCCACTATGCTTATAAACATGAAATTGCATATACCCATCCATTTTTCTTTGTGGATTGCATCCCGTACCTACAATAAACAAATGATTCATTATTATAATATTGCTGAGACATGTCTTGATCCTCATGGGACTCCAAATAGAGCAGATTTCTCACTAAAGGCTAAAACGTGTCTCTAAAGGTCATTGTCTTTACACATTTTTCAGTTTGAGATCAGAAAGAGCATGTGTCCATGCATGCACCATGTGACTCTCTCCGAGATACTGGGATTGCCACCATCGGGTTTCCGTGTAATGATGTTTACAATAGCACTGTTCACATACATTCATACAAACATCAGGTCAGTTTCCTCTTCAGAATCATCTACAGCACCTGTTAAAAAGCCCCCACCTAGCTACACTTCTTTTATCAAAACAAAACACAAACATTTCTCAAGCATTGTCGGAAAAGAAGATTGGCAAATCAGTTCTTGCTTTAAACAATCTACAAGCAAGAAGGAAAGACACCTAAAAGTCAAAATCATCCATGAGGAGAAACTAAAATGCTTCCTCCTGCTTTAGTTTTTTTATTCACTTTCAACTTTTTTGATCTAAAATGCTTGTTGTTAAGCAATAAAAAGAACTTGCGTTCCAATATCATTAGCTTCCTGTTCAGAAATATACACTAAAAATGTGCATACATGAGCAGCTATAAACATTACATGACACTATGTCAGCTCATATGAAAACGTACAAAATGTGAATGTCTTCAAAAACTATTTTGCAGTTGATTTTTAATGTTCTTCCTTAAAGCAAGACCCAAAGGAAAAAAAGAAAACAATATTGAGGCGTTTTTAAGCATAATACCTCCTTTTTTTGAAAGAATATTAAATATATAACACTGTAGAAGTTACCGCACCGAATGAAGGATCAAACTGCCTTGATGTCTGTGGATTTGAGAGCAGCTGCCCCCTGCAGGAGGATAAGTGTCTCTGCACACGGTTAGACTTGGATCCCTTGAACAGCTTGTTTGATATTTTCCAACAGGACTTTGTTTTCTGGAGTATGGTACTGATCTTGGTTTGCGTACATGTCTGTTAGTGTGGTCACATATGCATCAAAGTTCTGCTCTGTTAGTGCCTCCTGTCGAACACAGAAAAGCACATATTAAGAAACCATGCCTAGAGATAACACAATACTGTATGCTTAAACCATTTCTGTACCTGCTGCATCTGTAGACAGCTAGGCCTTAGAGGAGGCTCTTTGTGCGCCAGTGGTTTCTGTAAAACACAGGGAAACACATGACATATTACTTATTATTGAAAATAATGACAGCAAAACACTACTGCACCTCTATACAAACTATTTTAGTTTTACATACAAACACACACATGCACACATACTGGTTTGGTGAAAAGCATGATTTGAAGCACACATATACAAAACAGTCATTTCAGTGAAGTTAGGCTAAAGAAGAAATAGAACAGAAACTAAAATAAAAGAGTATCAATATGCTACATTGGCATGGCATGTCATATCTCGCAAAGTCTAAAAACAATATGTAAAGACAAGTCAGATTAACTTAAATTGCAACAGTGTGCAGTAAAATGTTGTATAACTCTCTCCCTCACATTTTGGAAAGACAAGCAATGTGCCACATCTTGCACTAAGCATGCACAATAGCCTGTGGTCATTACAAAAGATGAATAAGCTGCTGTAATGCTACATTAGCTATGATTTGCAACTTGCCGGCTTGCTGTTCCTGGTGGCCCTTACCATATGAGGGAGCTGGACATTAGCTAAACTGTTAATCAGTGACTGGCTGAGGTTGGCCAGCTCATGCAGGAGAGATTCATTTTGCTGTTCAATCACCTTGTTTTCCTCCTCTATGCACTTCAGGTTTGACTCCATTGTAGTGATCTGAAAGGGGCAGTAGTGAGCAGTACTGTAAAACACTGTGTAATGAAACATCGATGCTCTCACGAGTCATGGACAAAGATACTTACTACCTGTGTTCGGAGTTTAATCATATCTGTTTCCACTTGTGAATTTGATTCACTTAAATCTTTGATTTCTTCATCCAGCTGTTTAATCTCATCTTCATGCTCCAGCCCTACAGAGTATGTAGAAGGCATAAGTCCAACAGTACAAAACATATGATTGTCATCATATCATCATACTCTAAAAGGGGATTTTAGCCAGTTAAGATCAAAATTGTTCACAGCTAAATGTGCCATATCTTTTATGTACAGAAGAAATGTCCTGCAGTCCAGGCAGCAGCGTGTGAGAAACAGATGGAGTACAAAGCCACAATCTCAGCCTGATTTTGATGTTTGATTACTGCCAAGTAAACCAGCTCTGTTCTTCCAGATTGGAGCCACTCTAGGACTATTTACAGCCCACCCTTGAATGGCAGTTTATTTCCAATTTAGGCCTTACCACACTGCGCCCTGATTGGTTTATTATCTGAAATTGGAACTGTGTTCACTAAATCATCCCACATCAGTGTTGCTGATTGGCTACATTGTGTAGTTGAGTGGTGATGTGGTGGTAGTGCAGTTGTAGTTACCGTTGCTGATGCGCTGTTGTTTTATAGTAAGCATTTCCACTCCAGAAAGCCTGGCTTTCCTCATGGCAGATGTAGCACGTGGACAACCTGACAGACTAGATCAAACAATAGTGTTTGTTTAGTAGGAGTAACCTCATCTTAAGCGCACATCTTAAGAACACACCTTTGTTCAGCTGAACTAACCTGCGATGAGTGAGGAAGCTGCCACTGACATGCCCTGAGCCGTCACAGCCCGGAGTAGGGCAAGACATGCCCTCTGTCTTGCCAGATTTCCATGTGAACTGAATCCCATTTAAGTAACCATCTTTCTGCCTCTTGGCTGCTATGGGACACCCTGACGCACTCCTGTGAGATGCATACTTCCCCGTTACATGGCCTTGCCCATCACATCCAGGGACTGGACACCTGGGATCACAGAGAAATGTTTTTTTTTGTGTTAAATTCAGATTACATGAAAGAAATTAAAGCCCGAATGACCAAAAACAAATGATACAACATTTATAGTTTGGTCAGATTAGAAGCTCTCACATCACTGTATATATTTAATTATACACATTTATTCTTCTCATCAATACCAACAGATCAGACCATGAGAGAAACTTGTGCCAAGCTGCCCTCCAAATTCAAGCGAATGACAAGATCGAATGAAGCACAGCCAAAGTGTGCTGTTTGTGCTCTGCACCACTAGAGAAATCAATGAGGCTGCAGGGCTGAGGCAGAGGAGCCCTCTGTGGGATTTAGGTAGAGTCCAATCAATCTGTGTGTGCCTGTATCTCTGCCTCTCCTGTGTCCTACCTGAGCTCTGCTTCACCAGGGACTGCACACTCTGTGCTCAAACTGCTGCAGCCTGTGCTCCCAAAGTTTCTCTGCTCCGTAACATTTAGGTGGAAATATTAGCACTCACAGCACATTTGTCTTGTTGAGGCTGATTTATTCCTGAGCACTGTTACATGTAAAGATGGCATGAATATTAAAGCCTTTGCCAATGATATTTCTAGTAGTCTGCATGGCATAGAAATGCTAGCAGGTGACTCAGAGGTGTAGTTTGAAAGAGCAGTGGAAGGATGGTGTCTGTCTGTTACTGTACCTGATAGGCTCCTGGTCCTCCTTGTTCTCTTTGCTGTGGATGATCTTTATCCCACTTTTTCTGGCCCGTGGACACCCTGAGAGACTGCAGACAAATGACACAGATACAGAGCTGAAACATGGGTACTGTGTGTGCTCCAAGAGAATATCTCAGTACACTTTTTATGTATGTTTATTTAGCTGAGGTAGCAGAAGTAAGACTTGTAACAATAGACAGTGCTATATAAAAACACAACTGTATGACTAAAATCTACCATGTATCAGAAACAATCATGCAGCCAGGTTACCTTCTGTGAGATGCGTAGTTGCCAGTGATATGTCCCGAACCATCGCACCCTGGTGTCGGGCACCTGGGGACGAGGAAACAGATTGGCCTCAGGGTCTACAGTAACAGACTTGGATGGATTTTTACTCCTTCTTATTTAATTGTGATATTTATAATCATATGAGTAGTCAGCATATCATGCCAAGGTAACAATAGACTTGTGTAGCAACAAAATTAGCAAATCAAGTACTATGCCAGTGTACTGTGAAGATGTTCATGTTGAAGCCATTCAACATTAACATCTTCCAGTAGAAATAGATGATTTTATATTTGGTATAAAATAACATGACTTGTCCAAGGCCTTACTTGAGCTCTTGTGCGTTGTTGGCCAGCATACTTCGAATGCTTTTATCAGCTAAAGGACAACCTGAGAGACTGAAACATACACCAGGTCATGTTAGTTTCATATTAATAGCAGGAAAATGCACTGTAGGCTGATAATCCACACATAACATTCAAACACAAATGAAAGAAACCATGAATCCAGTGCAGGGGGATGATTCAAAACTGTTACCCTCTGAGCATTTGGCTATCCTCTGTTTTAACACCTCTACCCTGGCAATTAAAATGCAATGACAGTGTCATCAAATACAATTTAATATTTCTTGAGGCCTAATTAAAACATAACAGGGGAAATCTTGTCCATAAGTCCATGTCAATTTTGCCAGAAAATATTATTCAGCAGACACCTCACACTGCAACACTCAGCAATTCTACTTTAAGCCTTTATGTTGTGAATGGCAAATGCTTAGCTTGCAATGCACTGTGGGAAAGGCCTGGAGGACGGAATAACATCAGTTTCCATGGTTTTACACACAGCCCATTGAGTAATGCTCTGTTCTGTCAGTAAAGAATGTGCATAAATTCAATAGTAATTAGTTTAATAAATATTCACTTTTGTGAGATTTGATTCTTTGAACTTGCAAATAGTCAAAGGGCAACCGAACAAAAAGAAAGACATTGTGCCTACAGAAGTCTGACAGCATAGTCGAGGTAAGCTGAAAACAATAAAGAGAAATAGACTTAGAATCCATCAGGAGAACAGGAAGTCACACCTTCGATGTGAGGCGAAATTGCTCGTCAAGTGACCACTTCCATCACACCCCGGTGTGGGACATCTGCCACCGGAAAAATAGACACATTCATTCAGCCCAAAGGAAAGGACAAGAGAATGTGACAGGAAAGGGGTGCTTTAGATTTTGTTCTCATTGTTTCCAGTTTAGCTTCACTGTCTGTGTTTAATATTGAACTACAGACAATTGGAGATTCATTCATTCAAAAAAAAAAATCTATCCTGAAGGTCATGTGGACAAATGGGTTCTTCAATGAAATCATACAGCAAGGCACTACCAGCAGAAATCACTATGTAGTTCTTTAAGGAGAAATGCAAGATATGACCAGAGAGATGAAGGAAGGGCAAGGCATGAGGGGAGCACGTACAAGTAGAAAGACATTGAGGGATTAGGTGAATGAGCTTACGTTATCAGGTCCTTCTTGCTCTCCTTGCACTGGGCATACTTGGGCTTGGGGCTGGGCATGTTCACATCTGTAGTGAAGGAGCTGTCGTCCAGAAGGTCATGGAAAGGGTCCAGGTCGTCAGGCTGAGAAGAGCATAGGGAGGGGGGAGGAGGTGAAGTAGAGACAGAATACTTTTAATTGTACTGAAGTAAATCAAATGAAAGAAGCTCCATCCAAACCCTTCCTCATTTACCAAATTGTATATCAGCTAAAACTGTATGCTTTATATAAGATATTTGATGATTGTATTACTCTTTATAATACACCATTACAATTGATGCAATGGTACTCATTTACACTGTCTCTATACATACACTGTAGTGTCCTTAATCCAAAATTGTAAAAACGAATGACCAGATTTGATGTGTAAGTTAGGGCAGAGTCACTAGATGGCACTGTGGTGTAGCATGATGGCATTGCTCTTTGAGTGGAGCTGTGCTTTGTCTGCAGTGCATGGAGCCAGGGCACAAAGGCTGTTGATGCAAATCCTCTTTCCTTTCTTCATGCTTGCAGTGGATGTACAGTAATGCCCATGAAAAAAAACAGGTCCAGATACAGCCCAAATTACCCAGTGTTCAAGCTGTCTGTGTGTGATGCTGGGTCAGCCAGGAAGCTTCTCCAATTAGACAGAGCGCGAGCAGAGCGGCAGACAGGAGTAGAGTGTGGCTGAGAGGCAGACAGGAGGCAGTGCGACACATGCATACATACAGAAAGTAGGCTACACATGGAAGTTGCTTATACAGGCATGTGTGCAGGCAGACTCCCAGAGAGACACGCTACAGACACTGGCATGAATATTCACATCCTCTCACACACATGCCAACAGAGGCACAAGTACTGTACATGCATGCGCCTGCACACCGACTGGCGCACCCAGCAGTGCTGCATTGATTTCCAGCAGTTCTTTGATGAGATGAGCTATTCCGATTCCCTCCCAAGGTGCTACTTTGCATAATTCATTTTGGAGGGGAGCAAAATGTAAAAACAGAAAGCCAGCATGCGGGAAGCATGATACAAACAGAGCAGCTACCTCTGTGCATGGCAACGCTGACATCAATTAACATGCAGATTCATTAGGTTTTCCTCAATATCTCTAATATGACTTTATAATGACTCCAAATTTGGCCGTGAGTCAGATGAGAAGCTTAGAAACCTTGAAGACAGGCAGCAATGCAAACATTTGACTTGGCACAGAGCGTTCGATCAGCTGCATAGAGGGAATCATTTGGACTCAGACTTATGGAACCGTGAAGCATGCTAGCTATATGTTTAACTCTATGCTTTGTATTTTTTTATTCATTTACGACCACCTCTAGACAGTGGTAGTTAGATGGATATGGAGTATGCCTAATAGTTCTGTATCTCCTTTTACCTCTTTATCGTCCTCGTCTATGTGTTTGATCTTGGTGTAGTCTACAGGCAGGTCCCAGCAGTCGGCAGGGTCCCCCATGCTGTAGCAGCGTGAGCCCAGCAGGGCGGCCTGCCGCTGGGGGGACATGGGCTCTAGAGGGGTGAGCACCGAGTCCCCATCAGCACCAGCGCACAGATGCTTGCTCATACTCAGGTCCAACGTACCGTTCTCATCAACATCTAGGCTGGGGCTCTGGAGTTTTGTGTGTGAGGTGTGTGTCATGTGGGAAAGATGAACATAAAGACGTAGGGATGGAGAGAAAGGGATAAAAGAGAGAGAGTTTCTGATTAAATAGCAGTCAAACATTCATAGTCTAAGATCAGAGCTGGGCAAAACAGGAGCTGATTACAATGTGCACACGAAAGCAGGACATAAAAAGTTTTTGATTTTTCTGTTCTTTTACTGATCGCTCACTTTTGAACATTTTCTACATCTGCAAAGATAGATCAAGCACACCTGCAGTTCAGATATCTGAAACAATAGTCTGTGTTGTTTTGTTGCTCCAGTCGCTTTGGGATGAAACATTAGACTGTTGCGGCACAACATCAGTGTGTGACGCCCAAGAGGTGAACTGTAGAAGAGGTCAGCAGTGCTCAAGGACGAGTGCATCCCCCTGTGAACCCCTCCTTCTCTCTCTGTCTCTCTTCATCCCTCCATCCAGACTCCTCTGTGCAGGCAGGAGAGAGTCTGCATGACTTTGTGTTCTGCATGTGTGTGTGCATGAGCCTAATCTGACTGGACATCAGAGGGGTGCATGGGCAGAGGGCGAGGGGTGGGGCTGTGCCTGCTGCAAAACCCAAAAATAGAGCCTCAACTTCACTGCCACAAAATGAACCAATTCTAGCTCACACGGATCTCACTCTGCCTTGGTCACTACAAATGGGGCTGTCTACCATATCGACAGGCATATCCTTTAATCTCCATTGGGCAAATGTGTGCCAAATGCCTCTCTCTTGGGGGATGTTTTGGGGCATATCATTAATTTGGATCCTTCTCATTCCCATTTCCTTCTCTCTTTCCTATGATCCTCATGCTCTCTTTCACAAATCAAAACTGTGCGAATAACAATGTTCCTAAGAATCTCCCCCTGTCTACATCTCTGACATTATTTGAACTTCAAAACAGCAAATTAACAAAAAGGCAAAAAAAGTAAACAACTCCTAGAACAGAGATGAGGTCTGCCCTCTTCATGTCATGCCATTGCATTTTATGTCACAGTCTAATCACCCCACCCTATCGTATCACATTCATGAGGGTGGTACTTGGGAGTTTTCCCCATCTCCATCATTATCAACTGTTGTGACCTCTCTGTAATCTTTGACCTCTGCTGCTGTAGCAGAGATATAAGGAGAGGAGGCTCCTGTTCACGTCCTCCAGTTGCAAAAATAATCCATGTATTATGCCCTGTTTTTGCCTCTTTTATTTTGTTACTGTACCATCTTATTTTTCTAGATGCTTTTATAGAACGCATCTATCTCATTAATTATTACAATGTAACAACATAATAACACCATAAAATGTACTGTAAGTACATATTTCAAAACATCAATTTATGTTTTTAGTGCAAGTCTTATAATTAATATGACAACAGATGTGTTCAGAGAGCGGAACAGTGTGCCATGAGGTGAGGTGCTGAGATGAAAGAGAAAGAAGCAGAGAAGACATCCCTCAGAAGTCTCCCGACTCTCCATCCGGCCCTGAATGCATCGTGGCTGTCTGGCCCCGGAGCTTCGCGAGGACAGACAATGAAATGAGGTAGGACCAGAGGAAGTCCTGGTGCTTTAGGCATTTGTTATTCCATTCCACTTTGCTTCAGAAGTCTGTTGCTTTAGGGTTTTTCTCCTGCTCTATCATCCCCTTCTCTGCTCCTCACTCTTCCCTTTCCTTCTCCGATTCTGAATCCCCCTCTTCTGCACCGTGACATTTATACCTCCCACGAACCGGCTTTCTTTGCTCTTTTTCTTTATTTTCAATTCTTTCACCGTGGCTCTGATTCTCTGCCAGTGTCTGCTGTCAACATTAGCATTAAACCAGCATTAGCCCTCTGCTGTGCAGTCTCTTTCTGCCCCCCATTTTCCAGCTCAGCATCTGGCCGCAGATAATACAGGAACACTGTTACCTTATCTCCTCAGAAATGACACACTGGGCTCACGCCGTGTCAAACGGCGCTTCGTCCTGTTCCTATCTGATTCCCAGATGAAAAATAAAAAACTGGCCTGCTGAGCCCTGAGTGTAAGACAGAATGTGTGTGAGTGTACGAGTGGTGCGGGACCACAGATCTCGCTATCTCTGTCACTTTTCACGGCCAGTATTAGTATAATGAAGGTAGCCATGGCGCTCATCTCTGCTGGACTGTTTTGGACTGCAGCAGAGGTCCACAGAATGACAATAGTGCAGTCCATGCTGAATTCTCTGTGAGTGACATCACATGAAGTATTATTACTAAGCTCAGAAAGTAGCACGTACTTGTGAGCACAGGTCTGGAGGCTTGCCCCCCATGCCGTGTGGCATCTCTCTGCAGCGTGTGGACAGGTTGAGGATTGCAGTGGCAGCCATGTGTGCAGCCTCCATGTCGTGACTGTAGTCAAAGCTGCTCTTGCTGCAGGTACTGCTGGCACTGCTCCCTCCTCCCCCACCGGCGCCCCCTGCAGGTCCTCCACAGCTCAGACTGCTGCTGCTGCTGCTGGGACCGTATGTGCTGGTGGTGCTGCTGGCAGAGCTGGAGTTTTTGCAGTAACGTTTGGCTGTGAGATTTGGTATAACAGTTAGAATGATAAACAGTAAGCTACTCATTCATGTATTGATGTGATAAAGTTTCTGCTCCACCTCACCATCATATCCTTTGGGGGAGGTATCCCTATGTCCATGAACCTTGGGTGCGATGGCCCGTTTCCCGTACACCTGGTGGCTGTTGCTCCCATCGAAGGCGCTGTAGTCAAAGCTGGTCTTGGAGTATTTCTCCAGCTCCTTGGCCAAATTGGAGCGTGGCGTGCTGGTGGAAACATTGTTCTTGTAACCATACTGTGGATAGTCCAGTTGTTTGACAAAGCACATAGGCCTGGAAAATAAATGACGAGGGGGTGGAAGTTGGACCGAGGCACTGAACATTGCCCAGGGGGAGATTAGGGAACTTGGATTATATCAAATAAAGGGGTAGATGGAAGGGAGGGTTAATGGTGGTATTCAGGATTACTGAGGGGTCAAGAAGGATGACGGTGCACATGGGTGAGAAAATATCTCATATTTTCCCCTTGTTTGCATTCCTTCACTTCATATGGTTATATTTTTAAACAGGAGGCTACTTTTTCATTAAAAGTACACAAGGAATGTACTTCTGTGGCTTTTTTAATCAGTACAGTCTCATCACTATCAAAGACACAGTACTGCTTTGTGATAAATAAGGCCAATTCTTCTTAAATCTAATAAAAAATGATTTGGCTTAGTAGTGTTCTCAGGGGACAAATAAGATAAAAAACAGAAGATTTTAGCTCCAATCCTAATTGAAAAAGCAAAGGGGGAAAAAATATATATGAGATATTATGGCTGAATGAAAACTGAAATACTCAAACGCATATGTATGTTAAGAAGTTAATTCACCTGTTAAGTATTTACCTTAGAACACGGTCAGAGGCCTGGTTTGACTTGGGGCCATCACAGCCCTGGTGCTTCTCCTGGGCTTTGGCCAGTTTTTCAGCTGCAGCGATGGGACATCCTGACAGACTGAAATAAGACATACATGCCTCAGAATAACCGTACAACCACAGCTCTAACTGAGGGTGAAAATGCTACAATCAATTGACATTGTGCGAAACATTGCCTTTGTTACTGTCTGCTTGTCTGTCACTCAGATCCATCAGATCAGTTAAACCCATTCACTATTTCACTGCATAAGCATTGTCCTTCACAATATGGATAAATATTGTATCATTTATAACTTTGTTGGTGTCATCTGTCTGGTGTGATTTTTACATGGACCCTGAGTGTGAAATAAAGAAATGATGACGATGATGATCATCATAGGTGGAACAAGAAAAGTTGGCTTGACACTCAATGTATTTTCTATAAGTTTAGTTGAGCATTTTGCTGTGTTTATTTCCCCCACAAACTTGCTGACAAGGCACACACATGTGCATAGTACACCTACAACATGTTCAAGTTAAATTTAGTGCAACAAAACTTACTCCTGACAACTAACTGACCAAATGTGACAAAAGTTCATGTTGTTATCCTTAACCCCTATTATTCTCCATCCAGGCTGTCAGCTGCAGTGTGTCGGGCTGCAGTGGAAAAATGAACTTTGACAATGGCCTGAAGCCAGTGTACAGTGGCACTCATGAGCACCTGTCAGGAGACGTGCATGTCTGCGTGCATGTCTGTGCGCATGTCTGTGCGCATGCTAGTGCAGGGCTCACACTGGTGTCAGTTAACAGGGTGCCAGGTGCTATGAGGAGGGTTTATGGAGAAAGTGAAAGTTTATGGTTTGTGTCCATGTGCCTCTTTTGCACTGAGCCCAGCATGGGCCTGCTGGTTGTCCCAGGTCTGTACTCTCCTGTCAGCAGCTGAGTGGCAGAAAGGTGCTAATGGCTGCTGCTCTGGCTGACTCCCTGAGCATCTGCTGTGGGTGACACTCTTCTTTCACTGTCACCTCACCCGTCTGACAGCCGCGGCGAGAGCACCCTGCTATTTCTGTGCCTCCCTCCAAACCTGTGCCATTTTGGAGGGGGACTGATAAATGATTTATGCTGCTAAAGGTATGAATTACTGCATTCTGAACAGCCCAACAGTTTAAAAAGTAAAAGGAAGTTAAACTATGTCTGTATCTTTAATCTTTTTAATTGATTTCATTAGAAGATGCGACAGACTTCACCCTTCATTAAGAATTACACATCATAAACAAAAAACAAACAAACAAAAAAACATAAAAGACTAGCCTGTGACAGGAAAACCAAATGGACACAGACATGGATGGTGCCTTTATAATGTAGGCACACTGTGACTCACCTTCGATGGGAATTTCTGTTGCTATTGACATGGCCGCGTCCCGTGCAGCCGGGCGTAGGACACTTAAGAACATTCTCATACATAGCCACAACTTGGTACAGACATGAGATAGGAGTGAAAGACAGGGAAGGTTAGAAGCTCCTTACAATCAACCAAAAGCTCTATTAGTGTGTGAGAGGCTTGGCATTATAAACATCATTAAGAAATGTGTCCATGTGAACCCAAATGACCTCTTCTTCATTTTAATGAACACCAGTTTGAAAGGGCAGTGGAGGTTTCCCACCATACTGCTTCCACTTATCCAGCTCTTTCAAATTAGTATTCATGGAATAGGGACAGCCATGAATAAAAAGATGTCATTTAAGTTTAACAGGACAAAGCTGGTGAGAGATAGAAATGGGAGGAAATTTTGGGCATGCAGAGAGCAGAGCTACCAACAGCTAGCAATCATGCAAAACACAAGCCTTGAAATCAACAGGAAATGCAGACAGATGGAATACAGCTCCGATAGAGTGTGCTTTGTTATCATCTGCACATTGTTAGGGAGGAGAGTGCAGTCTTCAATACCATTTACCATTAAAACAGTCCATAACTGTCTTAGATCCCCTTGGCAACCAGCCAATTAGATTAATGATCTATGGATGTCCAAGAGAAGCCGTCGGAGGAGTGGGTGGGGGCGCGGGAAGGGTCGTCTCGACACCAGCAGTGAGCAAGGCCAAACCCCATCGGCATGAGCTTCATCATTATCACCCCCTTAAACTTTAACCCCTCATCATCCTCCTTCCTTACATACTAATTGGTGCACGGTGCAGGTAATTGGACAAAGCCTGCCACCTCGACGTGCCACAAGCTAATACATTATGCATGTCCAAGTTTTGCCCTGTCCTCCACAGAAGGAAAGACAGGACTGCAGCAAATTAAAGCCCACATTCATTCGGCACAGAAACAACTGTTGAAACAGGCAAGAAGCAGCTGGATTCCAAATGTCTGCCATGTTACAAAAGTAAACCAGATTTACTGCTCTATACAACTGTTACCACAAGAGTCAACTCAAATTATAACTGTACACAACAGTGCACTAACACAAGAATGGCAATACATTTAAAATAAAATGTAATCAAATAAGCTGTGACTATCTAATTAATTCATTCAGTTATTTACTATATTGTCCATACCCCATATATTCATTAATATAAAATCACTGACAAAACGTATTGTAGAAGTGAAGTTGGTTAGTATGTATGAAATTTCACAGCAAAACATCTAGCAGTTAATGCAAGTTGTTAGTAGAAAACATAAAACTTAAACGTATACAGTATTGCTGGTATAACTTTTCCCCAGCACCAGACATAACTGCACAACCTGCATCCAAAATCTCCAGTGACAATAAATTCAATCTTTTCTTTGGTTTGGTATTTGGTCTTGATCTCATTCAAGGCCAAAATGCTTTCTATTTATCTGTGACAAGAATGTCAGAGGTGTGTGATATCTGCATGATCAGAGTTTGGCAGAACAAGAGTCGTTGGTGACACCGCTGGTCTTTACAAGCCTGATTTTAATGGTAACTAATTTCTTTGCCGTTATTAAAACCTCTTTTATTTTGATTGCAGTCTGGGTCATGGCAGATCGTAACCTGATTTCCACACTGCAGTCAGTGAAACGTGTAAAGGGGCTTTTATGGAGAAGTTTGCACAAGGTGAATGGGACTAAATAGCTGGGGTGAGATCTCGACAGGCAAAACTCACTATTCATTCAAGGCTAATGTTTATTGCCACTTCTCCTGATCTGTGGCTCTGAGAAATGATACTGCCTTTCAATTGAGGAGTCTAATTGAGCAAGAAATACAAATAAATGAATGGGGTCATGGCAGTTTGAAGCTAAATCAGTGTTACAAGTGTATGTTTGGGAGCTATATTTCTAAATGTCAAACATGTATGTAATAATTTTGATATGTAAAAAAAAAGCAAAACAAAACAAAAAACAACCAAACAAAAAAACATATACATAATACATACAAAGATGTACTATGCTAACTTCCTGCTTGACTCAATGGAGATGTTATCCCTCTGTTCTGAAATGTACCCTTATGAGCAAGCAGAAGTTGCCAAATTACATGTCAGATCTATATAGAGAGGAGACCCCACTCACAGTAGAAGTCATGTTTGTTAAAATATTTCTAAATTAAAACTACACCCCATGGAGACAAGCAGGTGGCGGACACCCAGAAGTTAGTACACCTTTAAAGAAGCATACCAAGGGAAATACCACTGACAGATTTGAATGTTTCCAGTTTTTACATATACTTTATACATATACGTTGAATAAGTCACATAGTGAGACAGTAGTTTCTGCTTTTGCCAATTGCATCACCACATCTGTTGACTACACCCACAGGCAAAAAATCGGCAGGCAAAATAATGACCCCAAACTACAGGTCAAGAGCAGAGTGCAGCATGCTGCTGAAATACCACACACAAGGACACAGGACAAGCCCGGCACTGGCAATAACAGCACAATAACAGGACGCATGCTGACTCCTGAACATCTCAAAGTGCAGGCCACAGGGTGGCTGTGTTGTGTGGCAAATACTCACTTTCAGGAGGGACCCTGTCTTTGTGCGGACAGCCCGACAGACTCCGGTGGTGGGGGTACAGGCCAGTCACATGACCCGTGCCATCACAGCCCGGTGTGGGACACCGACTCTCCTTTTTGTCTGCCCGGGATACATCTTGGAGCAAGAGCAACAATCAGTTTTGTGCCCATAGCTACAGCACAAAAGCTAATACTAACATGTAACCATGACAACTATAGGCAATGACACTGCACTGAGAGTCATACATTGCTTACAGCTACACTGTGTGTTAACAGGAAGACAAATTATAAAAGTGATGCACATCAGAACCCATTGTCTGTGAAGCTTCAGAGCTAGAGGATGATAAAAGGTCACACACAAGACCAAGAAGGACTGTTTCTCCATCCTCAGAACCAAGCTCTCCAGTTTCTCTGAAAGCCAGGTCAGATTTGGTTAGTACCACATCGTAAGCAGTCCCGTCGGTGCCAATTGGCAGACTTTAACTTGCACAAGGTCAAAACCTAATTTATAGATTGGTCTATACTACAGTGAGAACTTTACACATTTGGGAGAAAGGACTTTTGTTGTCTGAAAGTTCAAATGTTTAAATTAACTAGGAGATACAGTGCATTATAAACCCAACTGTAGTGCAGGAAATGGAAGACAAACTGAACTGGATTACTCTTCCACATGCTCTTCGTCCTTCACTAAAGTGCCGTATTTGCATATGCTGCTATCTACCTATGTCAGGTGAAGGTATGTTCATTAAGAACATTACTGACCATAGAGGTTCTCTTCTGTCCACAATAAGATGTTCAACCCAATATCATATTAAAAACACCCCTCTGCTTATAAATGCAGCCAAGTATTCTTTTAGAGAACATTATTGCATGAGGGTTTGTGCACTGGAAATGAATTTTAAATTCCTCCAACAATTGTGCATACACACATACAATGCTACTGCAGTCTGCCTGCTGTGCTCCCATTGCTGAAAATAGGGGCAGCCAAGTGGAAGGAGTATTAGAAAGCAGAAGATATTGATTGTGGCTGGGGACGGTCTGCTCTTTGCATAGCAAATGGCCCCATTACCATACCATCTCTGGATAATTAATGTGCAGTCAGTGGGCCTGTCGTTCGTTATCGCTCATTGTGATACTGTTCAATTTTCAGCTCAGCTCTGTGCTGCTCTTATGAAGCTTCTCAGAAAGTGCTCCTCAAACACATGGGCTCTATAAATCACTGTACTCTGGTCTCAACAAGTGATGCTACTATCTCACCTGAGCAAAGATGTTATCATGATGCACTGCCTCACCTCCTCAGTATTACAACAATAGTCAGGCACAGGGACCTCTTGAAATTAACATTTTAGTGACATTTCATATACAGTGTATACTTGCAGAGAAATGTGACATTTAAGGTGTGAATAGGAATGATGTTATTTTGCTGCTTTCAACCAAGTGACTGAAACCAATCTCTGATGTTGTTGTAAGGAACATCAGAAGAATAATTAAGAGCCAATCAACAGGGCCTCTATCTGACTAGTGTAAATGCCAGTGCAATGTATCTCAAGACTACAACTACAAAGCAACACTGTTTTGTCACTATAGGCACTCCCTTACAAGGACAGAATATCCATGATGTTTGGACGTACCCAACTGCATGCGTAGGTTAAAAATAGGCAGCTTTACCCAAAGCTGCATCACAGGGATGAGATTTGCGGTCCTAACAGGCCGTGCAGATTGCCATTACTTATGCCTGACAAGCCTACCCTCTGATGTTTCCATGCTGGCCTATTTTAACAACATAAGCTGTAGCCGCTCCCGCTGCTACCAAGATTCGAATTTCCAAATTGACTGAAAAAGCTTGTCCTGGGGTTATGTTGAGGTTCCCAGAATGTATGTGGGCTGTCTAGTCTCCAGGACAGAACAGATGGAAAATAGAGACAAACACTGGCATGTATACCTGAGCTTAAAATGAGGTAAACATTTCTCCCCCCATAGTCCAATACAAGTGCGTCTGAGCGTGTCAGTGTTTGAAAGATCCACTCACCTTTGTGGTAAAATGGCTTCTTTATGCCATCAGGAAGCCGTGCTTTCCGTTCCACACCGTATCCGTGCCGTGGGCCGTGGTCTTCGTGGCTGTACCTCACTCCTTCTCTTCTCGCAGCCTCAGCTGCCATTTTATCCCGCATTGCCTTGGCACGTTCGGACTCTAGTGCAATCGCCTTCTCCAACAGAGATAGGTTCCCTTTAGTCATGTCAAAGACCTCCTCAGAGCGGTCTGACGTCACCGAGGCCGTGTCCTCGTCAAAGTCCCGATGGTTTGGGTGATAGCGCTCCTCCTGTGCACAACTGGCAAAAGTCTTTGAGCGTGGGCTCAGCTGCTCCTCCAGCTTCATAAGATTGTCCATGTCTGAATAGTTCCTATCAAGTGTCCGGTGCCTGTCTTCTGGGTTGTGGTGGTAGTTTGCGTAACCTTGGTGATGGGACTGTTGGTTAGCATCCTCACAGGTGAAATGGTTTTGCTGGGATGACCCGTTTCGATCAGCAGTCTTTGTTTCGCTGAGTTTGCGAGCCAGGTCAAAGCACTGGTTCCTTAGGCACTCCAGACTGCTCAGACACACCTCCTCATCACTGTTGTCCAGTCCGTTGCTGGTCTTTATCTGTCCAGGGTGGGCATTCAGCCCATTTTGGGAACAGCCACTGTTGCCCTGGTTGTCTGCTGTGCAGTCCTCATACTGTTCATCCATATTGTCAGACAGCACTGCCCCATGACCTTGTGCCAACAGTTTGAGAGAGTCCACTGTCTCACGGACCACGTCACTGTCCACATCCAGACTCAGGTCTCCTCTCTGTGTCTCGTCGGCTTCCTCTTCATCCTCCTCATCCTCCTCTTCCTCATCTTCCTCTTCTTCTTCTTCCTCTTCTTCCTCCTCTTCTTCTTCATCATCATCTTCTTCATCCTCATCATCATCCTCCTCTTCTTCTTCCTCAGCACTGTGTGATGAGTTACTATTCATTTCAGACTCTGTCATGGCTCGATTGGCAGCATCTTCTGCGATTTTGCCCAGGTTCAATAAAGACTTGGCCACCAGCTCATCATAGTTCTCGTACTCATCGTTGTTGTTGTCATCCTTCTCCCCCACCTGGCTAGACTTGGTATTGTCACTGCCACTTTCACCAGCGCCTTGACCTCCTTCACTGCTGCTCATCTGATCGTCCTCTGTTGGAAAGAACAAATGGCTTTATTTCATTTCCGTCATTCTATTTTACTGGCAAATCAGATTTCTGGGCTTGGTCCATTTAAATTGGATAAGGAACTCTTTGCTTCCCCTAATAATTTACTTTGAGAGTCTTAACAGCAGCTTGTGTTCTGAATTGTGAATCAGCTCAGGAAGTTATATATAGCAGATTGGTAAAGTTCCAGAGTGATGTGCTCTGGCAAATGTTACTTTACATACAACATATCATGGCAAGACAAGCTTTGATGTAAGATCTCCCAAAACATTCCATGATATATATGGTGTAAGGTATCACTTAACACAGGCTTCACCTTTTGTTTGTAAATATATGGTAAATTAGATCACATTCCAGTAATGTAAATCAATGTACAGACTGTCTTTCAAATATTACAGTGGTCCATCAGCACCAAGATCAACCCTAGCCTGCTGCTATTCATCTAAAGCTATAAAGTTCTTTTTTCATTCATTCATCTGTATCTTTAGAATTCCTTTTTACTGTCTAATTGATTCTGACAGGCTGCAAAAGGTTACTGAACCTCTTCTGTCAGTAATTTCAAGCACTCACTCCTGGAGTACCTCCAATACTCTGCTTTCACATTTCCGCCCCAAGCCGCCAAGAGCACATCGCTCACACTTGCATCACATTTGCCACTTAAATTCCTGCACAGAAAACAAACCCTCACAGGCCCTCACCCAGACAGAAGATAAAGACTTTCACCTCTATGAACTTGAAGGTGAAATAATCGTACACATAATATTTGAATTATTACATATTGCTGTTGCTTTGAGAAAATATAGGTAAGATGGATGGGTCATTTGGGTTAATGTTTGTGATCAATAGTTGTATATCTATTCTGTATGAATCTCTATAAACAATGGTTCCCACATGGATTAAAACTTTTTAGGCTGAACAATTTTAGAATATCAAACTACAATTGTGCTGACCACTTAGTTCAAATCGTTCTTCTCAATTTCTTTTCTTTTGAGATAAATAGCAAAGCGGTACAAATAATAATATTGGTAATGTACTAATCATCAACAAAGAGTCTTACTAGTACATTGTCCAATACTGAGCTCTCCCTTTGTCACACATGCATGGGTTAAGAGTCCTAATGGCCACACACACACACACTCACACACACTCAATTCTAATGAGAACACAATATTGGTGCTTAGGGAGAGAGCTTTGGAGCAGTGAGGGAACAGTCACGAATGACCAGGCACATATTTTGACAGGGGCAGGCTTCTTACAGCAGCACGTGGCACCCGGGGTTTAATTTTTGATGGTATGAAACATGGCACAGGAAAGCAATTTGAAGAGCAATCAAGGTACACAAAAGGGATGTGGAAGCGAAACAGATTAAGGGAGGGAACAGAGAGAGCGGCCTGCCCTGGATTGGCTTTGGATTAGCCACAGTTGTGCATGCCTCGGAGAAACACAGCAGCTCCAGGATGTCACCTCTATTACATTTACGAGATTGGAATCTGCCCAGTCCAGATTTGCTCCTGCTATCTCAGGTTGAAAAGAAAGATGACAGTGATACTAGAAACTTTGGAAGGAATATATCTATACACTCAAATAATTAAAGGGGCAATTACAAGGTGCCAAAAATCATACAGCAGGTTTTTTGAAAAGTTCATGCTAAAGACTATAAACAATTAGTCATTTTAATGTACAAACTAGGCAGATTTTTTTATTCCAACACACTTGATTGAATAAAGCAGTGATATCTAAGTTTTATAGTATGACAATATGTACAACTGGTTATACTAGCAATTATACTACTAGCAAGGAAGTACATTGGTTCTACAAGGTTTATAAAATGAAAAATGTACTGACTTGACAAATTGAAGTATATAAAATGGGATAAATTAATGAATCAATTAGTATAACTAAATTAGTGATCAGGATGATGTGCAGAGAGGAAGGGTTAAGAAAGTTGAACTTATTCCCACTCCTTTGTCAACCTGTTTTTTGTATTTTATTATTAATCTTCAGCATTTTTTTAATGTCCATGATATTGTTAATTATTGCTTACCTGCATTTTCCCAAGTTCAAAATAAAAATAAATCAATCCATAAAAATGTATTTTCAATTTCAGAGGGTACTGCAGTTAAAATAAAACTGCATTTATTAAAGAAGTTGACTCATGCACGTGTTATAAGGGTTTGCGAGCCAGTGGCACTGGACCATTGTTTAAACTGTAGGACCAGGGCTGTGGGCTCTAATAAACCTAGGTCTGCCGCTCTGTTTGCACATGTCTGCAAAAAAACAAGAGCTGCGGTGAAGCTGCTGTGAAGCCACATCAACACTTTGGGTGGGTAGAGCTATGCGCCAAAGCGGGTTAACACACTCCTCTCTCCCAGCCTCACTCTTAATTGGACTTGAAGGCACTGTCAGGTCCAATCGTGATGCGGGGGTGCAGAGACGAATCTGCTGGAGAGAAACCTGCCAAATATGCTATTGGGCACACGGAGGGTGGGGAGGGGTTGGGGGGTGGGGGTAAGAGAGCACACATGGGGCAGACTCTTCTTAATTCACACTCCTTAAACTCGAGTATCTTAAAGCTGCGAGAAGGCTTCAGGCAAGGGAACATACTTTACCATAGAAGATGTATTTATATAAGATTTGTATTGATTTATGTTGGTTAAGTAAATGCAAATCATTATTGTAGTTACATTACCCAGTATTTACAGTACAATAGGGCTGGGCAGTTTAGCAAATTTGTATTGAGATTGAGATTCAACAGTCTTTTCTAACTGCCAATCTGCTTGGGTCTCTTGAATTGAGAAGTCTACAGCCAATTCTCTGTCAATAAAAGCATATAGTCTGGAGATCAGACTTTGGAGGAAGAAATTATATAGTAATAATAATTTAAAGTATGTATAGTAGGGGTGTAACAATATCCAAGTCACGATATGATATCGTCACTGTATGAACCTCACGGTACGATATTTATTGCAATATCATGGGAAAGCTCATGATATGGTGAGGAGGCTCACGATTAGGGATGTAACAATATCCAAATCTCTCGATATTTTCGCAATATACATGTCACGGTACGATATTTATTGTGATATTTTGTGAAGGTTAATATGCTACTTTTTCCTCTTAAAATGCCTTGACAAGACTTAATCCAAAGAAATAAGACATAAAAGTGCTTAGAACTGTTATTTCTTCATGTAGTTTACGCTGAAATGGAGCAAAGGATCATGGTCTATGTAGATCCCTCTGTCTTTTTTTAGCTATGATATATTGTGATGGTCCACGATATTATTGTGAGAACTTTGACGATACGATATCTCGATATTTCGATTAGTATTACATCCCTAAGTTTCTGTCATACTGCCCAGACCTTCTGTACAGGAGACAAACAAAAAAGTAAATTATATAAATATATCAATACTGGCTGCATAGGTAATAGGTTCATTCATATAATTTAAAAGTGCAAATAATGTGCTCTGGGGTCTAGGGCAGCATTCATTTAGTCATTTAGTCCATTAATCAGTTGATGGTGTCTTAATTGATCAAAATCTTTAATAGCCAACACTTTATTTGGATTAAAATCCTGTATGTGGCCTACAGCAGAGGGTGCATGAGGGGAGTTTAATCATTCTCACATGCTGTTTAGTATTACTTCTCACTCTGGTACCAGTACCAGTGGTGTATTCCTGTGCAATATAATAGAAATGTATTCTAACTTTATACGAGAAGCAGCCTCACCGCGCTCCTGACTGTGCTCTCCTTCATCTTCATCATCATAGTCCACCTCCTCCACAGCGTCCTCGTCTTCCTCCTCCACGTGCTCTTCTTCGTCCTCCTGCTCCACTTCCTCCTCTTCTTCATCAGGCTCTCCCCGCTCCTCCTCTTCTTCATCAGGCTCTCCTCGCTCTTCCTCCTCCTCTTCTTCTTCCGGCTCCCCTCTCTCCTCTGCCTCATTATAGTCCATGTATCCCTCCTCCACCTCGCCCTCCTCTAGCGTACCCTCCTCCTCCTCCTCCCGCTCGTCCATCTCCTCCGTGCCATCTGTGTCGTAGCACTCCTCCATCGTGGAGTTGTCCATGTCATCTAGGTAGCTGCTCCTCTTGGGGGAGCTCTCCACACTTTGGTGGTCGAGACTCTTCCTCTTCTTGGCCACGGGGCAGCCGTACACACTGCATGGGGCACATGGAAGGGCAGGTTAGTCACATACAGGATACAGCTTATTTAGAGCTCAAAATAGCCATTTACTATTCAAGAGCAATCTTTTTTTTTAATAACAGGAAACATAATTGCCATATATAACAAATCATTTGATATTGTACATTATTAACAATGCAACATTTAATTTCCATGGTTCCATAATAAATTAGATTTGAGCAAAAATGTTGTTTCCTCATATTAATTGATCACAATGTTTGATGTTATTTTGTCTTATAAAAACAAATAAAAATAGCTTTCCAATATTTATTTTCTAACCATAAACAAGACAAACTTTGAATAATCCACCACAGGATTGGCTGGAGACCTCTTCATTAAATAGCCTCAAAATGATTATTGAAAATTAGAGATGACTGAATCACAATCTTGATTAAAATTAAATTAATTCAATAGCCATCATTTCTACTCAACAAATAAGAAAAGTATGCAACTAAGTTATGAATCCTGACCTATCATTTCGGAGTCAGCTCACTGGTTAATTATCATACAATGTTATAATGAAATACACAGCCCTTTTTCTTCTGGAATATTGTTATAGGGGGTACAGTCTTTATCTGAGGAGCAAACAAAGCACTGCCCTGTTTGTTTTCATAATCATTTAAATTCAGGTACCATCCATTTGTTCTCGAGGCAGAGGAGCATCACGCTGCACGCTCCACAGACACTTTGTAGCAGACTGATATGCCCTTGTTCTGACGTGAACCCAGCGCAGCAAAAACACAAACTGCTCGCTGGGAATTGACTGTACGGAGAAGACAACCTGTAGCCTGATTAATTGAATCTTGCAAAGACACCTCAGGATTTAATGTATTCTCTGGCTCCTCTCTGCAGCAGGAGGACCCATTCTAATCTGATAATCTGTGTATTCGCCCGGGTTATTGATCAAAGCGGTTTTAATCCGTTTCACGCATAAACTTTAGAAAGCATGTACCTGCCCCAAAGTGAGCGACTAACTTTGTTTTTCATTCATGTATTCGGCGAGTGTACGGCACCCCTGAGAAACACGCTCAGAATGATGATGAATCCACTGGAGTGTTTTGGTCATCAAATAAAGCTGATGTCGAGGCTGGAGTGGAGCAGAACTAAACATGCTTTTGGGCATGTTCACTCAGCTGTGAAATATCCTTGGCTCCTATTTTTACAACCTCTGGATGTTTGCCGGGCTCTGCACTACTTAAAGTAAGACCAGAAGTGCATGAATGGCACACGGTGTTGCAAAAGAGTGAAGCCTCTTATTTAGTAGTCTGTGAGTATTAACTGTAGAGTATACAGCATTAGACCAATGCAGTGCTTTGAACATTCTATTATATTAAATTGTATTTCAAAATCCTATTTTGTCTCAGTCTTGGTGTTTGCATTCCTCTGTTTTCTACTGACCAATACCCCTCCGCCCCACTCTTTCGCTGGGTGTGTACTGAGCCCTAGATGTCCATCAGTCAGGGTGCGGGCAGCTGGCAGCCTCAATCTCACCCTGCCATAGATTCCTTAATGGTCTGACCCCCTGCACTCCCTCGCAACCAGGGGCCTCATTACATTAATCTAAGTCCACATGGAAACCCATTCGCTGCCTGACAGCAGCCCTCTCCCCAGCACACTGAGGGTCTATGGGACAGTCCGAGGGAGGGGTGCTCTGCAGCACTGTGATCAATAGTGCTTGTGACCAAACATCTCAAAGCACATTAAAATGCCACTCATCCTGGCCCCGCGGTTCCAGGGCCCTCTCCAAATAAATCACGAGCTGGTCCCAGCAGGTTAGAGGCTGCCAAGGCAGCGGGCTAGCAAGAGGATAGGTGTGCAGAAAGGCACATGACTAAGGGCGAGTCTCACTCCAACTCTTTACTCAACATTAAAGCAGCCTCAGAGCCAGAGCAGAGCCACAATATTACTGTGACTATGCCTGAATCCACCAACAGCTTGTTCAGTTGCTGTATGCAAGGATAATGAGCTAACGGATACCAAAAAACAAATGCATGTACTCTTGAAAAGGGTCAAGTACACATTTGCGGTGGGCTTAAAAACATTACAACACACATCACACAATTCTGAGCTGGGCTTGGTGATGCACTATGATAAAATCTCCACCCCCAGTAGCTCTGCTGCTCTGCTCTTGCTTATCATATGTAAATAGTTTAATGACAATAGTGTTGTGTAACTCGTGGCAGTGTTCTCCCTTAGCTGTCAGGTTGTGGTGACACAGAGGCAGCACTCTGAGCCCATGATGACTAAGCTCCAGGAAGTCTTCACAACCCTGCTGTCCCATGTCTTCTGTCCCTGCACTGTGACCTTGGCCACAATATTCGTCACCAGGAAAAGCCTCCCACTTATCTGGCTGGATGATTACCATTGCACAATGGTAATTAGTTGGCACTTAGGGAAAAAAATTGATGATCTAAATGCATTGCATAGATAGAAGGAGAGTTAGCACTGTGCTATAGATTCCATTTACTATTTCCTCTAGCAAATTCACAACATCTTCCAAGAGCAGTTTGCAGTGTGAGTAGCAATCAAAGAGCAGAAGAGCTTCGGATCACAAAAAGACCACTTCATATTTTATGGAGTGGGCATCTTTGGTATTATAAGATGGAACAAATTCTATTACAGTCTGAACAAGTGCCCCTTTAATCCTGAAAACTGTCTGGAAATGTTACAGAGCACCCCATTTCTGGAGCGTTAATACGAGGCGGAAAGGCAGTGCTCCTTTGGCTAATTTTGGGCGACAGTTGAGCGACTGCTGGAATGCGACAACATGCCACGGTGCCTTTATTAGCAGTCATATTAGCTGCTGTTCGCAGCAGGGGCAGAAGCTTTAGCCAGTCATTAGCATCTTATGCTATTTGTCTCCCTGACACCAGGATGAGCTCTGCTCTGCTTTTTTGTCACTTGTCCCTCTGTCAGCAGCTTCCTCACCTCAAATCCTCGCCCACATAACCTCACCTGCCTCTGCCCGTTCTATACATCACTCACATCATGCTATATACTTCTTCAATCTGTCTCTCACACCAATTTCTTTATACATTTCCACCACTTACTCTTTCACCTTTTTCCCATTTTCTCCTCTCCATCCATCAGCCTCATCTGAGCATTGTCTGTGAGCAGATGAGAGATGGTGGAAATGCAGCACCTCTGGCTGTGTCCCTCTCCAGCTCAGGATCTATAGACACGTGTGCCAGAGCCGTCTCCATGGTGATACCCTCCAGAAATCCATGAGGGATACGCCAGACTCACAGCAGCCAGCCGGAGAGGCAAATGAAACACAGACAAGCAGGTAGGGCAGTGGCAACACGCCTATAGACAGTACAACATGTATGTAAGTGGATGTTTGCATATCTGCGTTCACTAAACCCCCTTTGTCTGTAGATTAAACAGTGTAATGTATGGTGGAGGGGTTCAGACAGCAGTGAATGTATGTGTGAAATGTAGCATGGATCATTTCAGAGCTGTCAGCCCTCTCCCTCCAGCGGGGAGAACAAAAGACAGTGCCTGGGCGCAGGAGGCTCAGCTCATGGCAGACTCTGCAATTTGGGGCGTTTTCTGACGGCTGCAGCGCTGGCTCACTTATCAGCTCCTATGGCTCTCTCACATACATGCATTGTGATTGTCTGTTGGTCCATAAACTCTTCAAATAAGCTCACATAAGAGAATCAAGATTATTGTTATCTATATTCATCAAACAAAACAATGGCAAAATGTAGTTCAGTATAACGTTCGGTATAACCCCAATATAAAATAAAATACACTCACAACATCAACAATTCTAATATCAGCCCTACAGTGAACTATCCACTGGTGGTGTCTTTCTACAGGGAGCACAGGAGCAGAGGACCATGGGGCGGAGGGACAGAGCCGATATCATTACAGATGAGATGAGACAGGTCAGAGCAGCTCAGGTGTGGGGCTGTTTCCCAATCCAACTGCTGCAGCATACATAAGACACCAAATAGCTCCCAAAATTAAACAGCTATCATACCATGGCAAAGCCTATTTAAAGGTTCCTTAATTTGTCAAGTAATTAACCAGACAGGTACAGGATTATAACATAGCTCGGTCTAATTATTATAACTAAAACATGACCACATAAAATTAAGCATTCACCTTCAATTTACTCATCATTGTGGCTTAAATCTTATTTATACAGACAGTAAAAGTTAAATAAAAAGTTACATTTTTCCACATGGGTCTTTTATCACTTTATATCAACCAAAATGAAAGTTTAAGTATTTTAGGATGGATTGTGGTTCAATATTAATATGCGTATTATCCCAACCCATTTGCATAATTTTGTAGGTAAGTCGTGAGCAGAAGAGCTTGTGGGCTGCAGGATTGGGGGGCTGTAATGCGGCTATCTGTCATCCTGCAGCTAAATTCACTCCTGGATTAGCCAGGTAAGGAGTCTCTCCCTCAGTGTAATGACTTCAATCAATCACAGCTACTCGCACATGCCCACAGATGCCAGCCAGTTAGCCGCTTGCCCAGCAGCCATCTTGAGAAGGGATTCCTTCCTGGAGCAGAAGCATTTGTCTCACTGGGCACAGTAGTTGTTTATTCTGATGGGTTGAATGACTAAAGCCGATGTGAATGGAATGATTAAGACTTGGTATAAAACTGTATATA